GGATGGTTAAATAAAGAAGTAGAGATGTATCAAAAATAGAATTAAAGTGTGCATGCATGATGTTTGATGAAATGCCTAAGAGAAGGTTGTGCATAAGTAGAGAAACTTATTTTTGTGCTACATAGCATAATTGCACTTAAGAAAGAAACATAAGCATGAGCCATCCATATGCATATACTTACATATGCATGAGAACCTAAAGAAAGAATAAAGAATTTATAAGAATAAAGAAAAAGAAAGAAAGGCACTAAAGAATTAAAGAAAGAAAAAGTGTTAAAGAAGAGAAAAGAATAGGTTGTTGCGATGGGGAACTCGTGAGTGCTAAGAAGAAGAAATTCTCACATACACGCCACCTTAATTGAGTGGCATAAGAAGAAGAAGAATTTGTATGACCCGTAAGAGTGTATGTGGATGAAGGTTGTACTAAGAAGAATTCCTACATGCACGCCACCTTAATTGAGTGGCTAAGAAGAAAGAAAGAATTTGTACGGTCTGCAAGAGTGCATGTAGATGAGGACTGTACTCACTCACACGGCTAGGGTTCCGAATCCATGCATCAACAAAGTCCGATCAGCAAAAAATAAGAAAGAAAGAATAAGAATAAGAAAGAATGATAAGGCTTGAGCAAGCAAAGAAAGAAAAGAAAAGAAAAACAAGAAAAGAAAAAAAGAGTTTAAGCAAACAAGAAAATAAAGAAAAGAATAGAAAGAAAAGAAAAGAAACAGAAATAGAAATAGAAATAAAAAGAAGAAAGAAAATGAACTTCTATGCATTTCATTCATGCATATTACCATGAATTCCATCATGGTTAGAAAGAATAGAGAGAATAGAAAGAAAGAACAGTGAGAATTAGAAGCAAAGACAAAAAAGAGAAAGAACTAAGACAGAAAGAAGAAGAGAATTAGGTAAGGAAAGAACCAAAGGAGTTGTGGGGATAGAAGAGATAAAGGATTTACTTACTGAGCATTTTTATGCTCACCCCGTTGTTTTTCCATGTTTTGTAGGAATTAGGTGAGCAGCGGTTGGAAGGATGTCGACAAGCGGAGAGAAATGGCATTACTGTCCACCATTGTAAAAGCTTGTATATATGTTATTTTGGCTATGTATAGAATAATATATGTTTAGTAAAGAAAATTTTTGGGCCCATCTATTTTTCATTTGCTATATGTGTACTTTTATCATAGTATATTTTCTAAGTAAATTAGTAGAAAGAAGTTATTACAGTGAGGATCAAACTACAAGCATTTGGTGCATCTCATGACTTTTGTATGATATGCACTTGGTTGGATGATGAATGTTGAAATCTAGAATAATCTAGAATTGTAACTTCTTTGAGGATGCATCATTTTATCACTTCATATATTCTATTATCCCTTAATTAAGTAATAAGAAGATAAGTGTGTTCTGTTGAAGGATACAACTATGATCAAGTTCTACAGATATAATTAATTCCTGAGCATCTTGGTTTATGTTTTTGATGTGGGAGTACTACTGGTGTTGATGAATTAGTAGCTTTTATTCCTTCAACCAAACTGCTTATTCAGGAAATCATTTTGTTAGTTTATCATCTTTAGTTTCCCAATGCAAATAATTTGTAAGATGTTGCCCTGGTTTGAAGTAATGATTAACCCTTATGTGCCAAATACTCCTAGCTTTAAGTCAATGGAGATAGTTATAAAATTGGTTTTTCTTGGGTATTTTACTCAATATTGACTAGTTCCAACCTCTATGGGCTCACCTTTAACACCCAATAGTAGCTACTTTGTATTACCTTATAGTTCCATTCTCTCTTAAGAATGTTACCACTTTATGCTGTTCCAAATTCTTTTAATGCTATAAACATTGTTCATATTGTATTGACGATATTTTTCCCTATTTTTGTTTTTGTTTTTTTAACTCTTCAGGTTTTGGATGCTGGCAAGTCTCTTCTTCCAAGGGAGCTGCTGCATTCTTGCTTACTTATTCGTGTGTGCTAGGCGAGTATTACTGTTTGGGCTGTAGATATTTCCATGTTGAAACCTTAGAGGTTTGGAAGAAGACTTTTCTCACCATTGACCAGAACCTTTTCTGGAGCTGTTTTCGTTGGGGAATTATTTACAGATTGCAGGTTGCTGCTCCCTCCTTTTCTTCTTGTTTTGGTTGCGTATATAAGCAGGATTTTAGTAGTTATTGTGCATAATTTTTGGGTTCTGTGGGTGGATGGTTCTTTTGTGTATAGCATGTTCAATTGGCTTTTGTATACCAAAGTTCGACATTGTTTTTGTGTTGCGGTCATTTTGTAGAGTCCTCTTTGAGGCTTGCTTGGTGGCTTTTTTTAGAATGTAAATCCATGCCACCTTTTTTGTTTTCTTTGGCTTGGTTGCTTGGGCTTGTCCAAGGAACTTAGACTTTGTAGGGGTCCTCTTTTTGGGACTCATTCTTTTATTCTTTATATAATTACCTTTTACCCAAAATATATGCAAGAAGGGTTATGCAAAGATAGAGAAACAAAGTATATTGAGATGACAAAAAATATTTGTCACGGCTATATTATTTTGACAATAAAAATTTGTCATGTAAAAATATTTGTATTAAAAATTATTTGTCATGCTATTAAATTTTTTACAAAATTATTTTCGTCACTATGCAATCTTTGACAAATAATATTATCATATAAACAAACATGTGACAAAATAAATATTGTCACAATAAAGTCAATGACAAATAAATTTCAGTCACTATTAAAATTATAAGAAAAATAATTTAGTCATTATTGTCATAATTTTGACAAAATCAATTTCGTCATCGTATATTATATTCTCACCATAGAGCTTATCAGTTGGTCTTGAAATGTAAATCAGCTGTGACAAAATATCACTTATAGTGATAAAAATTGTCTTCTATTGTTACAAATAATTTATCACAATAAACTAGTTTACAATGACAAATCATTATTGTCACAATAAATAATTAAGCTATGGTGACCAAACACTCTTTTGTCATCATACACTTAAGAGTACGAACTTAATGTGACCAACCTGGTGACCAATATAATTCCTCACATTAGTGAAATGGTCACAATTTTAATATTTATAGTGACAAATTATTTTGTTGTGAAAAGCCTAAATTCTTGTAGTGAGTAGAGTCAATATTATTTCAATACACCCAAATTGCCCCCTACACCCCCGCCCATTGACCGAGTGGCGAGACCCCCGAATGTGTATATGTGGCCCCACATTGTTGAAGTGGTCGACAACTCCAACACTTGGGAAACGAAGTGAAATCTCACCGAGAAGGTGAAGAGTCACGACGATGAAATGACTTTTTCTAAGCGAGATTTCAAGTCAACAAACCTTGGGGAAGGTGGATTTGACCTTAGGGAGTATGGACTGACCCCTAGGATGTCTAGAAGTCACCAGAAAACTGAGAAATTAAAGTCGTTGGGAAGATGAATGGTCGTGGATGAAGCTTAATTGTCACCAGAATCCAGGAAGCTCTTGGGTGATGATGGTCGGCCGTTGGAGAAGTAAAATGGTCACCGAAGATGGAAGCTGGACGATCGCCGGAAAATGGATGAAGATGGGTGGATATTTTTGGCTTTGCATAACCTTCCACCTTCCTTTTATACTATTTCTAAAATTCCCTACATGAATGAAAAGTAACAAAGTAAACTCCAAATAAATATGAATTTGACCCCTAAACAATAAAAATGAGACAAAATCAACCTCATTTCATGTTGGTGGGAATAATATTTTTTTTCCTGGTAAATACTTGGGTTTATGGTAGCACTTATAAAATGTAATTGTATTTTGATTATATGGTTACATTATAAAAAAGCTACTATTGCATTAGGTCTATTGTAACACTTTAAAAATGCTATTGTAGATATATATTAATAACATTTTTTTTTTTTAAAAAGTTACTATTAATATAAAATGTGTTACAAAAAGTTAAAGTGTTACATATAAAAATTGTTATCGTAATATTTTAACATCAAGTGTTACTATAGATAGTCTATGGTAACATTTTATGGAAAAGTGCTACTGTCCAGTGTTACCGTACGCCATTTTTGTTGTAGTGTTTACAATCTCCCTTTTTGTCAATCTTATGAACAAAGCATAATTTGAATCAATCACATGAAACAAACATGTCATGAATTAGAATGAACACAAAAAGCACATGACACGACTGAACAAAAACATCCAATATCTAAAACAAAGAATAAACAAAACAAACAGATATGAAAAAAAAAAAATGAACCAGAAATTGTTCAATAAAAACTGTTGTTTCTAATGCTAGAGAATGCTAAGAAAAGAAAGTGAACAACTGAAAAATGGAGAGAAGTTTTTCTGCATTACCAACTGAGTTTTACACCATAACTAATAAAGCAAAATACCCACTGTTAACAACCACTTTGTAGGGATATTTTATGCAACATTAATCTAAAGCCATACATTTAGACCAACCTACAACAAACATTATGGACAAATCCCATATAACCTGGTAGTACACACCTAAACCATTACAAAATAAATCAAATAAGGCTACCTCACAAATAATCAGACGACAGATTGCAACACACACTTTGGTGCCAAAACAGATTCAAAAAGGGCTTAACAAACTGCTACATTTCTAGCTAAATATCAAACTTTAACACTCCTCCTTGATAGTTGGCTGGAAACACCAAGTCTGAATCTAAATTCTTCAAACTTGGCTTTGGAAACAGCTTTAGTCATAATGTCAGCCACTTTTAATTCACCTCTACTGTGCATCAGTTCCACTTCACCATTTTGTTCAACCTCTCTCACAGCATGAAACTTAATTTTTATGTGCTTTGAACGTCCATGATGCACTGGATTTTTGGTCATTGCTACAGTAGATTGGTTGTCACACATGATGGCAGTAGGCTTAACCTACTTCAGCTTCAAATCTTCAAGAATCTTTCTCAACCAAATGGCTTGATTCACAACAGCAGCAACTGAAATATACTCTGCTTCTGCTATAGATTGAGCCACGGTTTCTTACTTTTTGGAAAGCCAGCAAATTGCACCACAATTAAGGAAAAATGCATACCCTGAAGTGCTCCTCATGTCATCTATTGAACCAGCCCAGTCACTGTCAGAAAAACCAACCAATTTAAAGTCTTCTGATCTCCTTAACCGTACCCCAAAGTCAGTGCTGCCCTTCACATATCTCAGCACCCTTTTTGCTGTCTTGAAATGAGTCTCGGTTGGTTGACCCATAAATCTGGACAGCAAACTTGTAGCATACATTATGTCTGGTTTGGTTGCTGTCAAGTACAGTAGGTAACTAATCAAGCTCTTATACAATCCTTCATCAACCTTCTCAGGCTCATCACTCTTTGATAACTTCATATTTGGAACCGATGGTAGGTCCATTGGTTTACAATTCTCCATGCAAAACTTCTTAAGGACTTCACTTGCATACTTCCTTTGATTCACAAAAATACCATCTGCATCTTGATCAATCTCCATCCCAAGAAAGTATGACATTTCCCCTAAGTCTGTCCTCTCAAACTCACTATGCATGGATTTTTTGAATTCCTCCACTTGATCATGCTTGCTTCCAATCACTAAAAGATCATCCACATACAGAGAAATGATCATCACATCATCTTCGACTTCTCTAATGTATAGAGTGTGCTTATTAGGACTCCTCACAAAGTCTAAACTAAGCAGGTAGTCATTAATCCTGCTATACCAGGCCATTGGTGCCTGTTTTAGGCCATATAAGGCCTTCTTTAGCAGGTAGACTTTTCATCTGATACCCTTCTAGTTGTTCAATATAAATCTCCTCATTCAACCAGCCATTCAAGAAAGCAGATTTAACATCCAATTGATGAATTTTCCAGGAAAATTGAGCTGCCACAGCAAGTAGCAATCTGACGGTATCATGCTGGGCAACTGGTGCAAATGTCTCCAGGAAATCTACTCCATATTGTTGAGCAAATCCTTTAACAACTAGCCTGGCCTTATGCTTAAGAACTGAACCATTCGGATTTAGCTTTTTCTTGAAAATCCATTTGACTTGGATCACTTTCCTATTTTTTGGTCTGTCCACAAGCTTCTAGGTCTGATTCTTTTCAATCATGGCAAGCTACTCCTTCATGGCAACCTTTCAGGCTTCTGACTTTACTGCTTCTGAGTAGCTTGAAGGTTCCATTTGTGCCACATTGCATCTATCATACACATCAGCCAGAGATCTTGTTCCTTTGATAGAAATTTCTTCATCTGATTCATCCCTTGGATCTTCTTCAACCTGATCAGCTGGAGCTTCACTCAATTAGGGCCTTGTTTCTACGTCAACCTTACCTTCCTCCCAATTCCAAACTCCACTCTCATCAACTGTAACATCCTTGGAAACAAGGATTTTCTCTGAGTCAGGAATGTATATTCTATAAGCTTTTGATTGGCTGCTATAGCCAATAAAAATTCCTGTCAAAGCTTTATCTTCTAGCTTTGTTCTTTTTGTAGTTGGTACCAGAACATAGCATACACTTTCGAAAACTTTCAGATTATCCACTGCTGGCTTGACTCCAATCCAGGCTTCAAATGGTGTTTGACTCATCAAGGCTCTTGAAGGAAGACTGTTGAGCAAGTACACCCTTGTATTGACAGCCTCTGCCCAGAAGAATTTTGGAAGTTTTTTTCAGCCATCATACATCTTGCCATCTCCATAACAGTCTTGTTTTTCCTCTCACTAACTCCATTTTGCTGTGGAGTATAAGGGCTACTGAATTGATGTCTGATTCCAGCCTCCTTGCAAATCATTTCAAACTCTTGAGAAGTGTATTCAGCACCATTGTCACTTCTCAAGGTTTTGACAGTCTTTCCTGTTTGGTTTTCCACTGGCTGCTTGAATTTCTTGAATACTCCAGCCACCTCACTTTTTTGCCTTAGAAAATAAACCCAGCACATCCGAGACCAATCATCTATGAACAATACAAAATATCTACTACCACTTAGGGATAAGGTTTGCATAGGGCCACACATATTCGAGTGAACAAGTTGAAGTTTTTCAAAGGCTCTCAAGGCTTGATTCACCGGAAAAGGTTTTCTACTCATCTTGCCTAACTGACATGCTTGGCAAACTCCTTTTGGTTCTTCAACAATGGGCAAATTCTGAACTAAGTTTTTGGATTGAATCTCTCTTAGACTTCTAAAATGTACATAGCCTAATCTCTTATGCCATATCTCAGTTTCATCTTCAGCATTATATGCTTTGTGTGGAGTATTTTTCAACATGATTGGAAAGCTCTTTCCTACCATTCTTACTCTCATAATCTCACTTCCCTCACTGTCCAAGATTATGCAAGATTGATTTTGAAAATGCAGTGCATAATCCTTTTCTAGCATCTATCCCACACTAAGGAGACTTTGACTGATATCAGGTGCATAAAGTACATTAGAGATTAGCTCCATACCTGTTGGTGTTTGGACAACAACATCTCCTTTCCCTTTTGCTTCCACATACTCTCAATTTCCCACTTTGATCCTTGACCGATGTGAGTGATCCAGGTTCACAAAACTCTGCAGATCTGGTGTCATGTGATGTGTACATCCACTGTCAATCAACCAAGTTTTATCACATGCTTGGATCAAACTGGATGAGGCCACAAATAACTGCTCTGTCTCCTATCCTGGATGTTGTTCATCAGCCATTTGAACTTGGTTTTGGGACTACTCTCCCTTGTTTTTGCAGACTCTTTCGATGTGGCCAAATTGTTTGCAAGCCCTGCACTGTATTCCTGGCCTAAACCAACATCTATTCGTTGCATGTCCCTTCTCCTTACAATGAGAACAAGCTGGAAAATTCTTCATTCCACCAGCTTTGTTCCACTGAGCAGTGGACCTTTCGTTTCCCTTCTTATCTCCAGCAAACCTTTTGTTGTTTCCTTGTGCAGACTTGCCCTTGTGAGCTGCTAACATTGCTCCCTCACTTGCATCCTCTAGCCTCAGGAGCCTTCTCTGCTCTTATGCCTGCAGAACATGGACCAGCTTAGTCAAAGTGATCTGAGTCAGGTCTTTTGAGTCTTCCAAAGAAGAGATTTTTGCTTCAAACCTTTCAGGTGGGCTTACTATCACCTTCTCCAATATTCTTTTATCTGACATCTCCACTCCAAGCAACCTGATTTTGTTGACTATATTCATCAACCTGTCAACATATTCTTTCACTTTCTCAGCCTCCTGCATTCTCAATGTCTCAAATTCCCTTCTCAAATTCAACACCTGCATGTTTCTTGTAGTGTCACTCCCCATGAACTCCTCTCTTAACTTGTCCCATGATTCCTTTGCTGTTTTGCATGCCATGATCCTTGTAAAAACAAGGCCTGTGACAATTGAATGAATGTGGGACAAGGCTCTTAGAACCTTTGAAACTTCTTCTTCATGCAATCGGATTTGGTTGAGTGTAGGATTTGGTCCCAATTGAGGGATTTGTTTCTACTTCTCTACATACTGCCAGGGTCCTTGACCCCGCAGATATGCCTTCATTTTGACAACCCATATATGGTAATGCTCACCATTAAAGACAGGAGGTAAAAGAGAAGTTGTGAGTAGCCATTGATTCACGAAAAAAAGGTCTGATGCAGGATAGTTTTTCCAGAAAAATAGATAAGCTGATCAAGAGGAAGAAAAGTTTCAGATTTTTCAGCTCAAGTAACCATGCTTTGATACCATTTTGCTGTTTCTAATGCCGGAGAATGCTAAGAAGAGAAAGTGAACAACTGAAAAATGGAGAGAAGTTTTTTTGCATTACTAATTGAGTTTTACACCATAACTAATAAAGCAAAATATCCACTATTAACAACCACTTTACGGGGATATTTTATGCAACATTAATCTGAAGCCATACATTAAGACCAACCTACAACAAACATTATGGACAAATCCCATATAACCTAGCAGTACACACCTAAACCATTACAAAATAAATCAAATAAGGTTGCCTCATAAAACAATCAGACGGCAGATTGCAACACACACTTTGGTGTTAGAATAGATTCAAAAAGGGCTTAACAAACTGCTACATTTCCAGCTAAATATCAAAATTTAACAAAAACAACTCCCCCTCAAAACAATGTAAATAAACAAAAATAAAATAAGGGAAAAAGCATACGTCCCTTCAAGCATAAGGAGTTCAACAAAAATCAGAAAAAAAACTCCCCCTCAAAAACAACCAAAACAACTCCAAAACCAACAAAATCCAAACAATTCAAGTCACTCAAATTTTAGAATCTACTCCCCTTCTATATTCAGAAGAGAGACCTAGTTCTCATGCACCGGCGTGAGGAAGTAGATGGAGTAATCTTAGGAATAGCAGCAAGAGCAGCTTCAAGAGTGTCAGTGGGTAAAGCAACATTAATAGATGACGGAATAGAAGCTGAGTGACTCTTTTTCAACATGTCTTCAAGAGAACCAATCCTTGCTAACAGAATACCTAACTGATCACTCATTTGCTGGTTAGATCTTACCAGACTTTGCATCTGAGACAATAATCGAGATTGCCAAGTGTTGACATTAGCAGCTCCTGTTGAAGACGAAGGAGGTGTAGCTTTAGTCTACGAAATAACTTGAGATCAAAAGGAGCACTTTAAAAGAGTCTTGACTTTCAAATAAACTTCATTAGAGAACATCTTTGGATAAAAAGGATTGGTGATTTTCTGGATCAAGCAAGGAAAAGGCAAAGCTTGTGATGAGCTTCTAGTTCTAGCAGCATTCTTGATTTGATCAAAGATAAGCTCAGAAAGATTAACACTTTTGCCAGTCCCGATGGCATACATGAGTTGAGCCTTCTCAACACGCATAGAAGAGTTGTGTAGAGAGGGTGACCAGTTTGATAGGGTCACTTTAAACAATACTTTCTACAATGGAGAAAGCACATTTAGAAGTAAATACCCACAAGCAGGCCAAGAAGAAACTAAACCCCCAGACGGTTCTATTGCAACATCATCCAAATCAAACTCATCAAAATTATCCTTCTCATAAACAACAGGAAGATCCAATGATTTCCCAATCACACTCTCATCAAATGGTATCTGAATACCACGAACAAATACATGAGTCAGATCCTCATTCGTTTCCAACTCCTAAACATAGTTGGCATAAAATTCCTGAACTAAACTCCTAGATCTCCTGAGAGCACTGAAGTCGCATTAAGAGCAAGTACGTGGTCACTAGTTTGCTTCGCTCTATGGGAGGTCACTCGTCATAGACTTTATCCTTCAGTTGGGTGGTGACCATTAAGGTGCTTTTCAAATACAGAGAGTTAGCGCCTCTAAATCCCTTCATCTCTAGCATTTTGGAGCAATTTGACGTTGCTCCACCCCAACTGAGGGCAAACTCGCACTTGTGCGTTGTTGGCATGTATATTGCCTAGAGGTGGGAATTTGGGACCATACCCCAAAAACCCAGGTTTAGGACCGATCCTCAGAAGGACTGGTCTTATAAGGTCTAGTCCTAAAACCAAACCGGAACTGTGGAAGAGGGCCTGGGCCGTTTCTCCCCTTTTTCAAAAAGACCCCTAGAAAATATCAAAAAACCCCTTTTTTAAATAGACAATAAAAATGGGGGCTAAAATGGTATTTTACCAAACAAATAAATAAAACTGAAGCCAACTGTCACATGAGGGGAAAATTATTTTATTTTTCACTTCCGCCCCTTCCCAAAACCTCAACTATAAAAACCTCCCTAAACTTTCATTTTCTTCA